TTGTTTCATACTGAAAAACAGTTCCCGCCTGTCCAACTTGAGAGTGACATAGTAGGTGATAATATAGAAATTATAGGAATCATTAAAGATTGGATTAATCTCTGTAACTTTTAGTAAAGCCTATAAAAAAATAATAGTGTATTGTACCACACTGCTCTTATTAAAAATGATAAATGATCCCCATTTTTTGGCTAATACTAATTTCCAAATTTAATTCTTCTATTCAGTTTTATGGTTACCATAATCTTGATGTTTTAATAGCTTTTCCTATAATAGCTACAGAGACCTTTTTAAGTGGCAGCCCTGATTTTATGGAAGAGACTTTTTAAAAAAAAAAAAAAGAGTTTCTTGTACTAAAAGGCAAAGACAAGGCAAAGACAAAATAGTATGCATGTGATAAGACAGAAGACCAGAGAACATTATTTTGGCAAACCATATGGTCTAATTGTAATAATTACTCATGGCAGAATTTCTGTTCAGCTTTCAGTAACCTTTTTTCACCACTTGCTGTCATTTAGAGAGATTTTAAAACCTACAGTGTCTTTAGCTTCGTTTCTTGTCTTGAGCAGAGAGTATTCTGGGGGCAGCACAGGAGAGACTCACGCTTTAATAGAGCTTATCATCGAATGCTTTAGACAAATGACGAGATCTGAATGTGATCGGGAAAAGCAGACCCAGGAGGGCTGCGTGCTTTGCCGAGCAAAAACATAAAAACCCACCCAGACAAAAACCATGCAGGAAGGCAAAGTGATGCAACTTGTACCGCTTTGTGTCTCTCATTTTCCCCGGGGTGAGTGAAGGTGCTGGACTCTGCAGCAGCACCCCGGCGGGCTCAGCTTCTCCAGAAAGGCAGCTGCCCTCCACCCCTGCGGTGCGGCACAGGGCTGCCATGTTTCTCTGCTGGTGCCCTCGCAAGCGGCTCAGAACATTTCTTGGGGGAGACGGGGGAAAGAGTTTGTCTGCACCCTGGTAATAAAATTGAAAAGGCGTATCTTAAACATCCAAAATCTATATATTCAGGTGGCTTGAATAATTTATTTCCTTTTTAATTGCTAAAGTTGATGGCAACTGCTGGCTGCTCTAAATTTTGTTAAACCATGATATTTAGCCATGCAATAGTGGCAGAGGCCTTGGGTTCTATTTTTAAATATTCATTGATATTTGTATGTGATATGGGGTGTGTGTTTGTGGTTAGTACACTTGGTCCCAAAACACAGAGATAGCCTGAGCATCAGGGTTCACTGTAGTGCATGGGGGGAACAACTGGTCTGAGATAGCCTCTGAAAGGGTTAAAAGGAGTGAAGAAAAAGGCTTCTGGCTTCTGTTTTGGTATTGCTGCTATGCACATCTAAGTAAAACAACTTTGCAGACTTGAGTAAAAGGCTGTCAGTGGAGCTTTGAATCAAGACTGTTCCTGTCTGATGTTGCACAGATGGATGTTTGAGGCATATAGCCTGCCTGCCACATACTGCCTATCATGTTCTCCTGCCGATCATTAGCCCAGAGACATAAATATTAATGGTGAGTGTACTGTGGTATCCCTATGCGATTGAGCTTCTCCTGAAAGCGTCTGCTGCAGTGGCAGGGGAGGGAGCATGGAGAAGAGGTTAATGGTCTGCTGGCGTGCAGTGGGCTTTCCTGCCATGTGTCTGATCTGGGAATGACTCGCAGCTCTGCGTGTTTGGGCCCATCACTTCCACCATCTATCTCACCTAAAGTCAAATCAAGCTTCTGCTAACATGCCTCTGTGCTCCCCACCTTTACCTCCACTGCTCTTCACAAGCCCGAATTTTCCATAGGCTCCTTTGCAACAGGTGAGTGATGTTAACTAATTTAGGACACTCTTCCCTGTCTCTGTTGTCTTTGCTCTGGACCAGTAGAACAAATACCTAGCAACTTGGGACCCTGTGCACAGAAACCTGCATTCTTTTGGCAAAAAGAAATCCACTTTCCTTCTTCTAGCATGTGCCTGTGGTGGTAGTGTGGGTATTCCAAGTGCATGTAACCCGTCAGCATGGATTTGTGTAGATAAAATACATTCTTTATGTAGTCGGTAGAGCAAGAAAAGATTTGGGGTTGAATGTCTTCCATCTGGTGATGGCCTGAGCCAGGGTGTATAGAGACCATCTGTACCAAAAATGTACAAGTAAATTCTCCATCCTCCCATCCTTGCTGCTAATCATTACAGAAGTGAAGATTTGCCACCCAAAAATCCTCATCTCATTCTGATCTGTCACGGAAATCCAGGCCGTCAGGGCAATGACGAAAAGTACAGTATCAAAGTACAAGATGGGTCTTTGCAGTAGATGACCGAGTGCTCTGCTGCTGGTGGAGTTTCTGCTTGTCTTTAAAAACAGCAAATATGGGTCAGAAATCTTCTGATAATATTCTGTGTTTGAGAATGTACTTGAATGTGCTTTAAAGGGGAAATTAAAAGCATTGTAAATTAGGCAAAATTACATGAAAGGGGCCCCAAATTAGAAAGGAGAAGTTTGTAATAAATTCCTCGAGGATGTAGAGTCTAATGTGTAATTAGAGAACCACGAATTGCCTGTTACTGCTCGTTCTTTGTACTGGAAGACTCTGGGTCTGTAACTTCGTTAAATGTTTCAATCACACACAGTCACCAGGAGCCATCTCAGGCTGTATTTTAAGTGTCTGTTTACACAGTTGTTACAAATTGCCAATGGGATGTGAACTGTCTATCACTTCCAGAGCAATTAGTATGTGAAACCTTATCAAAAGAAATCCGTCAAGTTTGGAAAGCCATAAATATTGCACTAGGATCTCTAAGGAAATGAAAGCGAGTTTGATACAGTATTTATTTACATGTTGCTACACAAGCAAATGCACTTATAGATGCTCTAGTCTGCATTATTCCCTGTACTCTATATTCCATCAGTCCCATGTTATTTGAGAGAGAGAGAGAGAATTATCCAGTTGTTTTAAATATTACATAGCAATAAAGGACCGCTCCTAATAGCTAAGGCTGTGTAATTCAGGCAGTTGTATTTTTCTGGACAATGATTTGTTGTAATGAAAGGAAGACAGAGCTGTAACATCAGATCTTCATTATGTTCCTCAGTTTTATATAGCCAAATTAATAGAGTTTGAAGATGGCTTTTGGAGAGATTTTGATGTTTTGCGCTCTAGAAATAGGTCTTCTTTCGTACCCCCTGCACTGGGTTCCTCTGTGTGGAGGAATCCCAGATCATTGCCATTTGGTGCTCTCTTTGATCAGACCTCTTTACTATTGCACAACTTCACATTTGCCTTCTGCTCTCCTGTGACCTGCTTACCCAGGATTTCCAACCTAGCACTCAGCTCAAATGACATGAATATTCAAGACTTCTAACTAAGGCAGAGGCCAGGAAAAGCTACTACAACGATCATGAGATTGGAAAGCCTGTCTTGAAAATGAAGGCAGAAGGGCTCTTGATGGCTCTCACCAGCGAAGAGGCAAGAACTCTTTAAGCTAAAGGCATCATTAGCCCAGAAGCACATAGCTATAGACTAGTAATGAAAATATTTAACCTGGAAATTAGAGGGTTCTTAGCAATTAAAGTCATACCAACAGAAAATCAGGAGACAAAAACCTTGCTGCTTCTAGGGTATATTTATGAATAGGACTACATAACCTCTTGGAGAAGGATAGGGTGGGAAGGGGTTTGTTAATCCAGAAGGACCCTCCCAGTTCTGTGTTTTTCTGAGGAACGTGTGGTCAATTCACCATTCCACAGTCAATGCAAAATGTTGTCGTATTGCAGAGCTTGGGGGGCTTTGGTGGAAACCTGCTGTGTGAAAATTCACTCAAATTTAAATGCCTCTGTGCATTCCAGGGCAGTGATGTTTATTTGCCTATTGCTGGATGCTTCTGGAGGAACAAGGTAATTGTTCACCAAGAGTAAATTAAAAAAAAAAAAACTTACCTACTTGCAGAAAATAATAAGCCAGCTGAGAAGTGGTACCTTGTTTGCTCTGAGTAGCCTCTTGACATCAGCATGAGGTTACTTATAATTAGATGCACATGTGTAAATACGATGATTAGATATTCCCACATAAACATAATTATCATATCTTCCTAAAAGTCTAAGCAGACATTTCATAATCCTGTTGTTAAAAATAAATAAATAAAAGCCAACAATCTGCATTCAGCCTCTTATATATGTAAACAGTGGCACATGAGGGCAGAATATATTTTCCAAAGTACCTAATGGTAGTTGAGGTCAATTACAGTTATGACTCATTAGAGTATTAAACTAAGAATATGCTTTTTAGTATAATTAGTGTTCCCTTAGAAAACTACAGCAATCTTGTATTCACTTCAGTTCTTCAAGCATTTGCAGGGTGTTTGGGCATTAGTCTTAGGCAAATATAATAGGGTTATATTGCATTAACCTCACTTACAAACTCTGCAACCACTTGCGGCATCTCTCTCACTTTTTTTTTTTTATTGCTCAAATAACTTGCAAAGATGCCTTATAAAACACAGAGTGCTATCTAATTAGTCACATAGAAGATTATGGCTGCTTAATTTAGTGTTCAGTTTTTTGCTGATTCAGAAATTCCGAAGGAGTAAAATGTACCATGTGTGATAACATGGCTCGGCAGATCCTTCTCCAAACTGTCTTTAAAGGGAAAAAAAAAAAAATAAGAAAGAATAAAAGAAAAGTCATGAGTCAGGCTGAAATGTTCATGACAAAAAGGTGAGATTCTTGTAAAATGCATTATATTCTGGATTGGAAGAACTTGAAGGGGCAGGCTCAGAAGTGTCACAGTTGGAAATTTATATTTGTAGCCATGAAGATGAGAACTTGTAAAATGTTAGCCTTTTTGTCATTTCATGGGCTGTGATATATCCAATTGCCCTAAACAAAGGGGGCAGGGAGAAAATTATTTTCAGGGCTTTAGCTCTGACTTGAGATGGAGCCCAGCATCAGACAGCGCCCCATGGGGATGGGCACTCTGTCACTAACACTGGTGGTACCTTGTGCTTCCAGAGCTCACCTACGCGTGGATCTTCAACGAGTACCCGACCTTCGTCCACCAGGACAATCGCCGCTTTGTTTCACAAGAGACTGGGAATTTGTACATCGCGAAGGTGGAAGCTTCAGACGTGGGCAACTACACGTGTGTGGTGACGAACACGGTGACCAGCAGCAGGGTCCTGGGTCCCCCCACCCCACTCATCCTCAGGAATGATGGTAGGACTTAAAGGAGTGGAACTGGGGGCTGGGGTTGGAGAGGTTGTTTTGTTTACTTCGACTGGCTGTCACCCAGAAATTCAGAAATGGCCTGAAATATTTATGTCGGAGTAAAGGGAGAGATTTTCCCCTTCGCAGAGATTCAGTGAGGCTGGAGACCTCCGCATTAGCCGTGGTTCGAAATCATAGGCAGTGGTGGGGTTTATGACGCTGTGGCCAAGGTTGCTCTTCCCACCACTGGAACAACTCTCAGTATCGGGCAATAATTATAAAAGAAAAACCTGGTGACACTTGGCCAAAGACAGGAAATAAAATAGATTTTAGAGTTTGGATATACTACAGTTTTGCTCATTTTATGCAGCCCAAAAGTGAACAAAAGCACTTTGTTGTTTTGGTAGCTGTTAGCTCAGGCTGTATTTCCCAGCAGAATTAGTGCTATTTTTAGTAGTCTGTGGAATAATACAAAAAAGCGAGAAAAAAACAGAAGAGGATTTCTAAATTTATATAGACAATTGATTTGTATTGTCGTCATTTTTGAGTAGATAAGAAAAATAAATTTGCATGTTAATTTGCAAGTAAATTAATTAAAATTTGTCTTTTAAAGGATGACAGTTAGGACATTTGTTCCAGAAATAGAAAAGCATTGTTAGAAACTTCTTCTAGAAAAAGATCCATTGTCACCTATTGGTATTTGGCAAAAATTCCTCGCTTGTAAAATAGGAGCTCGTTGCTGCCAGTCTCCTGCTCGTAGCTGTCCCCTTCACATTAACACGGTTCCTGCGGACGGGGAGTTGGGAGACATTGTCAGTGATGAGAAAGCACCACAGTTAGGCTGGGAGGGGTGAAGACGGCTGCTTTTCCAGGTCTGTGCCAGATCTGCTCTCCGTTACAGGGGAGGCTGCATTTCTATAAACACAGTGGCAGTAAAGCTGTCCCTCTGAGTCCAAAGTCATCTAATGTATGAAAGATAAGGAGGAATATTTAAATTTGTCTTATACTAACATTTTCAGTGTTGAAGAAGAAATATTTTTAAGTATTGCATTAACAGGATTTCTTTGCAACCCTTACCTGACTGAAAGTGCTTCCATTTATCACAATCAAGCTCCATGTCTGCTTCTGTTCTGAGATGGGGCTGATGCTGGGATGATTGCTAGGCAGCCTAATTGTAAAGTGCCTCACCAAGGGCTTTACCCCAGCGCATCGCTCCTCCGCGCACTCCGCTTTATTTACAGGGACCGATTGCCTTCCTGAGGTAATTCGCAGGAATGTTCTCCGATTCCTTTGAAGTGCAGTCTGCTGTTTATTAAAGATATGAAACTTTAATTGAACCTCTGAGGGGCTGGGGAATACATTTCTGAGTTAAACAGGAAAGGTGCTGTAGTATCTGTCGACCCAAAGATGGCTGCACTCGAAAGTCAAATATGGGCTAAATGTGTATTTTAAAATAGGATTGCACTGGTATTACAGGCAAGCTTCATTTTAAAAATCAGCAGGTCTCAATTTTTCATTCCACATAGAGTAACCCTATAAAATCCAAATATAACACACTCTCACACTCGAAAAGAGAAATTATATATGTTGCTTCAGAAGCGTGAACAACAGAAGTGAGTAAAATGCAAGTCACGTTGTCTTTCCACTGGCAAAGTTGTCTTATCTTTTGTATTCATATCTGACATGTCCAGTATATCTTAATATATATGACGTTATTTTCCTTACAACACTTTATCATTAAATTACTTGGCTTGGAGGGTAGCTCATCAACAATTAATGTTTCAGTTCCGTTTAATTTCAATTAATGAGTTAAGTGGAAAAAAATACCTCTCCCGATTGATTTACATGTACTGAGCTGCTCCTCTGATTGCCGCCCGGGCAGGCAGCAAGGTACCGTGGCTGCGGGGGCCCTTGTGCAGCTCAGAAGAAGAGGTGGGGGGGTCCCCCGTCCCCCTGGCAGCTCCCGAGTTACAGAGGGGTTGATATAGCTCTGAGGCCCCTCAGCCCTGGGCTGGAGGGCTGGCGTCCCAGCCGGGATAGTGCAACTTCCTCCAATGCATCCTTCATAAAATTGTCTGTTGCTAAAAGTTTCTGCCTGGTTGGCTTCATGCTGATATACTTTTTGTGAATTCCAAAAAAATCCAGGTACTTTACAACAATCCCCTTGTGAAATTTCTGTTTTTCTCAAAAATCAAAGTTATTTTTAAACTGAAAAACATTTTTGCTGCCATGCAGAATTAATTATGGGTCCCTGTATTTTATACATAGCCCCATTACTTTGGAAGAGACAAATGGTGGAATAAGATACTATCCAAAAGGAATACTGGTCACATAGAACTAAGAATAGCGCCTATATCTGTTTTTTTAATTATTTCACACTGAGTTGAAAAGAGAAAGAGAAGATTCTTTCCTTTTGTGCTGATGATAATCTCTCACTCAAAAACTTTAAAAATTCCCAATTCTGGAGCTGTAGGAAGAAAACAGAGTTCGGGTGCTCACGGTTTGGCTGACCCTATGCTGTTCGACATCAAGAATTTAAATTGTGTTAACAGATACGTGTATGAATTACGTGGTGGGTATTCTTACTGTGGCCAATGTTCAAACTGCTCATTGAACTAATGAACAGTCCTCGTTTCCCTGGAGCGGCTCACAGCTGCAGATCTGGGTGTGCAGGACAGCACGCGCTGGGCTGAAATCTTGCCCATGAGAACCCCGAGGTTTCTTTTCACATTTCTTCTACAATTTATGGCAGTAATTTTTCTAGACTCAGTTGTGAATCATTTCAGCTTTTTACGTCAAATACCTGCCGTCTTTGTCGTGGTTATTTTACTTGAATGTAATCATCCTGGAAAAACAGCTTTTCAGCATGGTTTTTTTCAAGCGCTGCTTGCTTTACAGTGCCAGACTGTTGAGCTACAGCTCCAGATACGGGTGTAGGGGATGAAATCAGATCCTGTAGGCTGATTACTTTCCCCACCTGTGCCTTTTGTGCTTCTCTTTTGCTTGTTTTCACCTGCAAGGCTCCGGAGTTATAGATCTCCTGATGACGTTTGCAGCGGCTTTTTGTAACCAGCAGTACATGCTCTTGTTGACAGAACTCGGGTTCCTTCCCTGTCGCTGTGCTGTGGAAGCAGAAGGTGCCTCTTATCCTATTAGTTATCCTCAGACAGCTTTTCCTTCTTGGAGAGATAAATGTCACAGAGGGTTACGGGATGGTGGTGGGAACAGACCGTGCCAAGGCAGCTGTCGCGGTCAGTGTGAGCTCAAACTCTCTGCTTCTATGGACAGAGGTTATCTGATGATGATAAATACAGTGTGCAAAGTACAGTGTGTGCTGGGAAAAGGATGTTTTTCCTCTGACCCTCTTAATTCTCTCCCACAAATGCATGCAATCACCCCCTATTTAAATATCTTCATGTATCTGTATGTATTTGTGGCCGTGAGGATGCTTGCAATGCAGGTGGATAAAAGATTTAAAGACAATATTATGTAAGTGCAGCAGTGCCCGAAACTGCACATTTACGGGTTTGGGACCTGTCCTCCTGAAATGTGCACCCATATTTCCAGGACAGGTCTTCGGGAATGACAAGCAGCTCCCCTTTTCACATCATGTAAGTGCTGGTGTATAAAAGGAAAAAATAAAAGATGATATGGTTTTCTAGATTTCCCAAGGTATCGAGGTTGGGTTTCGGCTTGCGTTCTGCAGGGACAGGAGTCAGTCCCGACACTACCAGCTGGTACCTCCCATCGCAGAGAAAGGGCTCTCTGGACTATTTGCATGTTGGGAAATAAAATAGCTAAATGTATATGGCACCGAAGGCTGAGAATGATCCTAAAGCCTGAAGTAAGGTGTCCACTAGGATTGTAGCACTTACTGCAGCTCAGACAGAAACAGGATTTAAATTTGAATGGCTCTTTCCCAAACAAGCTGTCTGGCAGTTCGCCACGGGATATGGACTGGAAGAGAGGGAGGAAAGGGAACAAACCTGCCGCACTATCTCCTCCATTTAATAAACTGGTGTCTGTCGTCTGTCCGCCCCTGGCTGCCCTGTCCCCATCGAGGCCACAGTCTCTGCACCGTGTCCCCTGGAAGGGCAGCGGGTACCCAGGGATGCCGTCCCCACCACGACTGCAGCACCTTTGGAACCCTCCGGGCAATCCCAACCCTGCGGCAAACACCAGCCAAAGCCTGTTAGGAACACCCAGGTGTTGAGAGCCACCGCTCTTGGAGTACTTTACTACTTCTCTTTAAAATGCAGTTCAGATTTTTTACATTTGAATTAAAACAGTAATAGTAGGAAAGAACTGAAATAGTCCTGGAATAAAATTACCATCAGCGGCAGCTGTATGGGCCAATTAAACTTTAACATTTCACAGGTGGTGTCAGGAAATGCATATCATCTCCTCAGACAAATTAGCTTGCTTCTGAATTCCTGGGACTTTCATCCAAACCCACGTTTTTTAGCCTTGAAATTGGAAGAAAAATACGAAAGCCTCTGAAATACAAACACGTAGAGCATCTGATGTGCCATGACACTGGAAGCATTCTCCAAGCTACAAAACCCAGTGTCTATTTTAGTCTTTTATTTTCTCTCCTGTCCCTTCCACCTGCACGGCTAAGTCAGATGTTAAATCACCCAGGAACAGCAGGAAAAATAAGGACTGTCTGCATGGAAATGGTCTTGGATTTGGAATGGAGATATCTCAACTGCACTGATGTTTCTCCTATAAAGCGGAGACGGCAGGACTCGCAGCATACCCTATATATATATATGTAGGTAGGTTATAATTGCAGTGGGAGCCTTGTGATTTTTCCAGATACGAGTTCTGATTTTTAAGTGGTTAGAGTTTGCAGTAACGCTGGTAAAACAGCTGCCCTCGCAGTTGTAAGAGGCAGCAGCGGTTGCCAGAGCTGCAGGGCCATGGTTAATGGTGGCTGGAGCCGATGTCCTACAGCACCAGGGTAGCCTTCCCATCCCAGTCTGGGGTTTTGTCACCCCTGGGATTAGAGCTCCCAAGTCCCAGCCCAAGGCAAAGAAACGGGAACAATAAAAGGAATGAGTGAAGAGAAGGCAAAAAAAGTCATTTCTCCTCCCACCCATTCCTGTCTCCTGCTCTGTCAGGTGAATAACGTATTAATAATACATTCTGCCTTAATTTCCTAAATAGCCCGTTAGTGTCACATGATACTTTACAACCTGCTTTGCCTAAGGGGACCGAGTTCCTGCTTCAGGAGCGGAGGAGGCGCAGAAGAAGGAACCATTCTCGTGGATTTTGATTGTTGAGGGCTGGTTTGTAGCTCGCCAGTCAGCAGACAGGCAGCTCCTCGGGCTGGCTCTCTTTCTCCCATGTTATTTGGCTGCTGCATCATCTCCCACCCTCTGGCTGGCTGCCGGCGGAGCCTGCAGAGTGGTTTTGGCGACAGCTGCATCCCCTCTGCTCACGTGCCTGGGCTGTGGTGGGGCGGGGGGTGGCTGGTGGCACAGGCACTGAGGAGCTTTTCAGCCACCTCGGGGAGGGTGATGGAGACCATAATTTCTCCAGGTAAGTCTCCAGTCTGAAAGCCAGCATCTTCCAAAGTGAGGCAGCTGCCTGAATCCGGTCAGGCTTTCATGGGATGCGTAGCCTCAAAAGCTCTTCCTCTGCCAAATTTGTGGTCTTTATTGCAGAACGTGGAAATACTCTTCTGGGAAAAGATCTCGCTAAGTTCTAATACCAGCAAAACAGTGCTGCTGTTCCCAGATGTTCACACCCAGCCTTGCCCTTGGACACCACTGGGCAGTAGCTGTCCTTGGCTTCGCTGAAGCTCGCTCAACAAACATTTAGTACAGAGTCTGGAGAAATTTAGGCAAGATTGCAAAGATTTGGCAGTCACAATTGGGAGAAGAGAGAATTTTCCAGGACATGAACTGTAACAGACACTTCCAGCCCTTCAGGGCCGCAGTGTTAAGGTGCAGAGGGCTAACGAGTAACGTGCCCCTAATTCTTGTTTGCATGGTATGTAAATGCTGGAGCGCTGACACGGACTCGTGGGTTTCCTGCTGTATGTGCTGGCCAGGATAGGACTATGGCAAGAGTATTCATATCGTTCATAAACGCATTTAATTTTGATGACTGATGCTGTGCAGCAACTACTCTTTATATAATGTAGCAGCAATGCTTATTTGCAGTTAATGGGTTGGAAGAAAGAAGACATAACCTGCTGTTGCACCAGAACAGGTATTACACAGGTCAACAAGTAAAGGTAGACTTCATGTAAGCCTCATACTGAGCATTTTCAGCTTTAAAACTCTTAACTGTGAAAAAGTAAAGGAAAAAAAATAGCTTTTCTTGCATCCTCTTTGCAAAGCAGAGGGACAGAAAGCAGCACTGCAATCACAGGCCACCATAAGCAGCCCTGACGTACCTGAATATCTCTGCAAACTCGTGCTATCTCATTTCTGTATTACTCGTGGTAACTCATTGCTGTATTTGTGCATACCGGTGGCACTCATCTGGTCTGATCCAGCACTGCTCCCGCCTCGCAGCCTGCATGCTCCTCGCCTGCTCTGCGCTTGGCCAACGTCCAGGAAGCGCCGCGCAGTTAAGATTTAAACTGCGATCATCAATTAGCTGATAATCACTATTGGTGAAATTATATGTGCCGGTTTTAAGACAGTACAGTGACTAGAAATGTAGCCATTTATCCTGAATATAACAGCCTTTTTATGTGCGCAAATTTTTAAACACAATTTCATGAAGAGGCTGCCACAATACATGATTTACTGGGGCAGTAAAAATAAAGAAATTACCCGAAGAGTATATGATCTCTGCGCATCTAAATCCTTGAAGTTAATAGAAGCCTTGATTAGCTCCAGTGCTTTTAAAACTTTTTCTAATGGCTATTTGTTCCGCATTTCATTTTCTAGAAGGTGGTGAACCTCCCTTATTATTGCTTTCCTTATTTCACAAGTTACCTGCAAAAATCTTGAATATTCAAAAGCAAAAAGTAACAGAGCCATGAAGAAATTTTAATCTTTGGCAGATGGTGTGGAGCGCTGGTTCAGATTTTCCTCTGGCAGTAAATGGGAAAAGAGCCCACACTACACGGCTGTTAGAAACAGGCCATGTTTAAAATGAATGGATTAATTGGGCAAGTAATGATGTATGGAACAGCTCTGTGCTAGCACGGGAACACTTGCGAATTTATTGCAAAAATTCAAGCCTTAGCATCTATTTTATGTTCACAGGGGTGATGGGAGAGTATGAGCCGAAAATAGAAGTGCAGTTCCCGGAAACGGTTCCATCTGCAAAAGGAACAACGGTGAAACTGGAGTGCTTTGCCTTGGGGAAGTAAGTTTTGATCCATTATTATCATTCCTCCAGCTTCTCACTTTCATAGTGCTGTATTATGGAGTTTGTAAGACTTGCTAATCCTTCACCTGCCTCAGCAGAAGCTACTTATTGTAAGCATTCATAACAGACAAGGGACTTGGGGAGCAGGGGCTTTGCTCACCAAAAATATAAACTCCCAAGGAAGAGAGAAGATGTAACTTATTTTGTAAAGATGTGTTTGTGCATCTCCTGTTCTGAGGTCTCACACAACACTTAAAATGCATCTCTTGTTTCTAAAGTAAACACTAGCAACATTTCCAAAATAAAAATGTGGGACTGGTAGGAAAATGCATGCATTGTCACAGGAGAACCCCAAATTCAACTTTGTCAAAACAGCAATTTTATAATATACAGTCTCCTGTTTTTAAGTCTATGTGAGCAATACACCATTGGTATACATATATACGTTTATATTATATATAAGCCACCCATAATAAAATTGCTCCAGATCCTATGCAGAATCTTCAAACTGACCACATCCTCATCATCCTCAAACATGGAACAGTGTTAAGTTGATCAGACAAGAGCTTACCAGGACAAGACCCATAGCTTTTTCTATGAGTCTTATTTTGCTTTATTTTTCTTATTTAGCCCAGTTCCTACAATTAGCTGGAGGAGAGCGGATGGGAAACAGATACCCAGAAAAGCCAGGAGACACAGATCAAGTGGACTTCTTGAAATCCCAAATTTTCAGCAAGAAGATGCTGGACTCTATGAGTGTGTAGCTGAAAATGTGAGAGGGAAAAATGTTGCACGAGGACAGCTGATGTTTTATGGTAAGCAGTCTGCTTGCTTTCAGGGGGTTTTATTGTATCGAGTGCAATATGCAGTAAATATTTTGTGAGAACCTGATTTTTGGGGGTATTTTTAAAATTATTTTACAAACAGCACGTCTCAAAAAGGGTATAATTTGAAATAAAACCTGTCTGAATGGTGCATATTAATTGAGAATCAGAGCAGTTGGAACGAAAGCACTTCGCTTGGAAGGACATTGGCATGGTAACATGCAGAAAGCACTTGCAAACAGCTCATTTGCCTTCATGTGGCTGTGAGTGTAAAGCAGGTATTCTGGTGGAGCATCGTCGTGGTTACAGCTTGGGATTTATTATGTATGTGTTGCCCCAGCTTGTGTGAATAAGTGTTAATTGCTTATAACCAATTAAGGACTGCTTTCAAGAGGGGTCACTGATTGCACAGCCTGGAAAGTTGGGATTTAACCCTGTTGGAGCTGGCAGAATCCTCTCCACCCAAAGACTTTGTACATCTGCTCTTCTTGGACTCACATCATTGATCACAGCCATTGATCTGGGCACAATACAAATGTAAAACTTGAGCTTCGTAGGCCTTCTATGTTAAGTAGAAGGTGCGTTGGTGCCTCTAATCCTGGTACAAGTGTCTACCCATCCCCAAATTTCTGCTGGAAACGGCCCCATCTTGCAAAGCAAATTAAATGCGTCTAGGAGCTGAACCAAGCTTACAGGGGGAAAGTTTGAGCTGTTCAGAGTTACTGTGGATTTACCTGTGTAGAGGTGAATGAGAGTCACAGAGAGGGGTTTTAGAGGTACGAATGGGCTGCTGGTTTGGTACTTAGTTTCTGTTTGATGTTTTTTGGAGGGGAGAAAGCTGCAGGTTACATACCCCGTGTGCAGGCGTGCAGAGGCCTCCCCACCGTCATAAAAATCTGTTTTGTTGCTGCTCTGTTATCATCTTCAGGAGCATAATAGAGTGTCGTTCTTTATCGAACACATGGAGAGAAATTCAGTGTTTTCTCCCCCAAATGCTCCTGAGGGCCCAGCTTCTGTCAGCAGGGAAGATTGGGTTGAACTCCAGAGATGAGAAGAATGTTTTTGATTTATAGTAAATTTGCCACAGAAAAAGAGTTGGGGAACTAACCCTCCTGGCAAAACTGGATTGAATTTGGTGAGTAATGTAATTTATTTTTTAAAAAAGCATATATAGGGATGTTTTAAAATCGGAAATATTTCTAAAAGACATTTCATTTAGAAATCAGAACTTTGGGGTCTTCCATTTCAAATGAAGAGTTCTTTTAAAATTGAGTAAAATATTAAATGAGAAAACCTTAAAAAGGAGTGCAATAGCAAGAACGAAGTTAAATCTTTCATGTTAAAGAAATAATCTGGGGTGATTCAAACTGTTTTTTCTTTTTTAATTACGAGACTTGAAGATTTCCTTTTTGTTCATCAAAAAAATGCATGTTTCTCCTGATTTTTCCCATGTGGACAGTAAATGAAAAGACTCACCAGTTGTACAGTTTTGCTCGACCCACGGCCGTACCTGCCTTCCTCACAAAGCAGTAAATCGAGCCTTTGGTATACTCCTACCATTGCATATATTAAATTATGATCTAACTACTGTAATGAATTTACCAGTCTGGATCCCATTCCTGGAGGACTGCAGATCCTACACAAAAGCTGCCACCGTGGCTAGTGCTGGTTTTCGCTCTCAAGATGGCATTTCAGCAAAGAAGCTCAAGATATTGTGGGAAGAGGAGTGTCCTCCTCTCTCTCTGTGATGCTGGGAGCTATCTTTACATCCACTTTTCCTCATGTGAGCAGAGGGGTTCCCTGTGGAGAGGTGTTAGCCTGCCACCTGCTAGTTACTGGTTTCAAAGATAATTGACTAAAACATCATCCTTGTTATCTTGAGGATGATGAGTTACTAGTTTATAGGTATTCTATTTTCACGCATACCTTGTGTTTGGCAGACATTTAGTACTGAAAAAAGATGCCTTTTAAAAATACTTGCTTTCTGTAAGCTAGGCTCTGGAGTTTGCAACGAAATTTTTTTAGGGAAAGTAACTTACTGTAAACATTTTATACGAATAGTTGAAACTGAAAGTCATTTTCCTTAATCATTTTTCTTTTTAAAGCTGAGAAGTATTATGTCGTTATTGAAATACAACTGTAATGTTAGCAGAGCTTTTCAGGTTGCTTTTAGTGGGTCAGGGCTGACACCCGGAGAAGGGAACGCTCTGGAGGATGTGGTGCGGGCGGGCGGACGTGCCGCCTACGTGCAGTGACATGCTCTGTCATGATGCGTGCCCTGGAGATCGCAATCTGGCTCTAAAGCCGTGACTCTTTTAAACCCAGTTATCTGCCTCTCTGCATAGTATAAAATAAAAAAAAAAAGAAGAAAAAGAAAATGAAATTCAGATTTGCCTGCTCACTGTAGATAACCCAGAGTTGCCTCCGTTGTCAGGTTCTTTCAGTGCTCCTGGAAGTTGTCAGGGAAGGTTGACTTTTGCTGTATTTCATTCTTGTATCAATGTTTATTTTTTCCTCTGTTAGCGTATCAGTGACACTGAAGTTGTTTGACATTCTCATTGCAGCAGGAAAGGTTAATTAAACATGCAAGATCTGTTCTTCCTCCGTTTTCTCTGCCTTGAGCCCCTGCAACAGGCTGTGTTTTATTGCTCTCCAAAAGCATTTGTTCTGAGTGCTGTATGTCCTACTTGATAGATAGACCTACACGATAGAAAACATGTTAATGTTAATGCAATTACAGTGACTTATACCTGTTTCCTTGACTATTATAACTCTGAACGACATATCACTTGTTTTCTTGCCATAAGTCTCTTGTTCTGTCTGCCATTCCTAACCAGATACCACGTACCTCAAATTAGCTCCTGAGAACTAGCAAATTAAACTGCAAAACCTCTTCTTTCTCACCCTCATTGACCAGCCGTAAACACACGTCACACTGCGTTCCTGACTTTGCAGCTTGTTCCTTGCAGCCCCTGCGCCTTTGTGAGCCAGGCCAGATCATTCCCTGTGGCTAAGGCAGGTGAGGTCCCCAGCAGGAGCCGGCCTCGGCACGGCCGGAGCACATCACTGCCAACAGTGCTGGCTGCACCGCCGCCTCTGCTTCGAGGGCCTGCTTTTCCACTGAACTCGGCAGCGAGGGTCCGCCACGCCATCAGCTGTGTGTTTTGATCCACAGCATTTTTTTTGGCGGAAGTACAGTAAACAGATTACTTTAGCTAGCTAATTCAAAAGGAAATTGCCTTTCCGTTCATAAAACCAGCATCAAGGAGATGCTTATTTATTATCATCACAGACTTTGTTTCATTTATGTTAAGTTTAGATGCCATTTCAGTCAGATCTTCTGTCAGACAGTCGCAACCCAAAGATTGTGCTGAGCATAGGACAAGAGGCAACGGGCAGATGCACAAGCACAACGAACTCATAAGGTGGTGTTGTGGCTGCTTATCCCTGTGCTCAATGCCTTTCCTGCGATGGGCAAGAGCCTCACGCCCCTCTACAGCTCTGCTGACGTGCCTTGGCCAGGTTCTCCCTGCTGACCATCGTCAAAGGTCTCCGTACCACCACACCAGCATATTGCTTTCCTGGACTTTTTTAAAATATGAGTGTATTTTTTTATGCAAAGTGTGAAATGAGATGGTTGCGCCAGTGCTTACTCCTTGGGCTTCACTTCAGTGTGCATTTAGACTTTCCTATATTGACTCTGTCTGATGAGACAATGCAACATCTTGATATTCCCCACCCCAACGACATGTATAGTCTGAATAACAGAAAACAGGAAAAAATAGCTGTCGGTCAAGGTGATCCAAATACAAGCACATTCAGTGGGGCTGGTAGCGACAGCACTAAGAAAGCAGCACCAGGGGAGGCTGCTCCGCCGTGCAGGCAGGGCTGCCGGGCTGGGAACAGGCGTCGCAGTACAGGCAGGGGTGCTTAGGGCTGACGAGCTGCACCACCACCAGCAAGGTTTGTCTGCCAGAATTATGACCAAAACCGTGCAATTTGGCATTGGGCTTTCCAGTCAGATCAACACTTGTCTTACACGGCCTGGAAGAGAAGGAAAATATCCAAGTATGAAACAGCTTGGTTGCAGCCAGCATGGATATGGGTGCTGACTCGGCGTCACCTGTGTTGGTCCGGGGTCCTCCAGCGTCTCTCTCGCCTGAGCTCATCCGCTCCCTCCCAGCACCTTGCTGGCAAGCCAAGGCCTGGAGGAAAAATTTGCAGTTAAAAAGGTTTCTAAAAGTGTCAGTGCAACAGCAACCGCATTAGCAGAGAGACAGACTTATTTGTAACTCCTTACAGTTCTTTGCAGCATTTTGTAAGATACTCAGCAGAAGCCATTTAATTGTCTGGACCACTCTTCAGATTAAATACTTCTCAAATCACTCCCACCAGGAATTTATGCGGCTCCTTAATTTTGCAGTGAAAAGAGTCCCCCTTTCATCAGTGGGCCTGTGTTTTATTTGTGCGAAAGCTACTTTATGCCATTCTATAAAACAACCTCAAATGTAAATTGTGTTATGCTCTTCATTATGGTTAGAGGTCTAAAAAGGAAATTTGCATAACTGAAAATCAGGCAGTTGTATGTCTCTACTCCATTTAGGTCCCAGATCACAAATAATTTGCTGAAAATTCAAAGCCACTTGAAATAAAATGAGTTTCTGGACTGATAAAAATACAAGAAAATTCACATACGTAGGACAAGTATACATTATTATTAATTGTAATTTACATGCCTCACTAGAAAACCCATTTTGCTACCTGTTATGCAGATACGTTGCCAATTGATTTCTCACCTTCAAGCATCTCCGTGTTCATTTTATTTGAAGTTCTCAAATCCTGTGTTGTTTCAGAATATCATGCCAATTTAACTCTTGGTTAACCACCACTTAAACACTTGGCAGCAGCTGATTCCATCCTTCTAGAAGGGGGCAGTTGGCCTTGGGAGCAATTGTTGCAGTGCCCGACCTCAGTTGGTTACACTCACCCTGGGGACAATCACTGCTCGGAGGGAGGATGTCTTGGCTCCTGCCAGTGCAAGATGTATTTTCTCAGACTTTAGTGGAGGAGGGAGTAACTCTGAGTTTTGAATAATTTGCTGCCCAAGGGAAGTCTTGCATTCAGAACAAGTTTCTGCACAGAGAACAGGCATGTTTCTCCTCCACTTTTCCTTTTCGAAGGGATTGCTGGAAACCTGCTTATAGAGAAATCAATTTTTAAGAGATTCAGAAAAAGTGCTCAAATTATTATCATTTTGGCTTGGAAAAATAGCTCTCCAGCAGGAGAAGCAAAAATACAAATAGGTATGAGAAATGAACGGTGAAGGCTACTTACAGAGCACCCCGCACCTCCCTTACTCCCCTGGGTAGCTGCAGCCTAGAGCCTCAGGGATAAAAAAAATAACTAAATCCCTGAGGACTGGTCTTTATGAACGTGCCTGTAATACCTACAGTCCTTTGGTGCCCAGCGTAACTGGGGAGAAAGTCATGCAGTGGTGCAGAATAGCTTATGGAACAGGAGGTAAATAAGAGGTAGGGACAATTTAGGTATTTTTATCAGCTACGTTAACTCCTTCAAATTTTCCTCTTATTTCTTTTCCTCTGATATTTAATATTTTAGTCCCAAGCAGAACTCCCAGACTGGTTCATTATGGTCAGTCTTCTAGAGAGGCAGAAAGGAGACATCCTGCCCGAGTGGCAGTATCTGGTGAACTTTCCAAAGACGCAGACAAACGGAGATCATTTAGGTGCAGCATTCAAGCAAATGACTTTGGTGGAGGATTTGCACAGCTTTGAGAGTTGTATAGATTTCAAATAGTCCTTAATTGGCAGTAGAGGTCAGGAGGAAGGGATTAAGAGGAGGAAAGGAAGAGAAGAGGAAAAGTGATAACTTAGTCTGGTTTCACGTTCCTGTGATCAGTGGGAAGGATAACAAATTAGGGACATAAGGGTTTTGTTTACAGTAGCTATATCCTCATTTGGACCAGGATGACGTGTGCACTTGTCTGCACAAACCTTATACACTGGCTGCATTCTTTATTTTTAATTACTCGTGTATTTTTCCCATCTGTTTTTCTTGCTTCTTATGCTTGGCTTTCTGGTCTTTAGACTTTTCTGATCTTGGGCTCAGTCTCCATCTCCTTAGAATAGATATAGTAATGGACAAGTCATTCAGCCTTTCATCTGCCATTAATGATGAATTACACAGCCTGCACTAGGTCATCAGCTGCTATAAATTGGCTTAGGAACACTGAAATCAATATACACCGACCGAGAATTGGATTCTGTATATGTATTATTACCTCATTTGCTTTAGTCTTTTTGGTTGTTTTGAACTCACAGACGATTGCGAAGTCCTACAGATTTATTTCTGGTTTATTTCTCACATTGCTCCCATAATTCTTTGGTTTTGTTACTCATTTCTGATGCAATGCATCATCACCGGCTGTGTCATTTCATTTTCAAATGCCTTTTAGGACATGACTTCTGGTCTAGCTTTCCAGTGCCTACTTTTGCCTTTCAATTTATTACAATGAAGGACAGACTCATTCTGGATTTTTTGGTCTTAGAGAAGGAAGAGCATATTTGGGCATACTTTCCTAATTACCTGGTTTAAAATGCCCCACTTTGAGTTGGTGAAGACTGGAAGGTGATCAAAGGTAAACAGTTTTTTTTCTAACTGCTGCCATCATTTTTCTTCCATCCCCCTGAGTACAAATTCCAGACAGCTCTCATCACGTAGGATGGGGTTATTTTTCTTTAAAGCTGTCCTCATGCAAGAGTCATGCTTATATTTCTAAGCTTTTTCTTCCACTTTATAGATTTAGCGTATGAATTTTTCTTGCAACTCAGATGAATTCTTAATCGCCTTCCATGTAATTTTTTTTCTTCAGTACCAGATTTTTCCTCCGGGATGTTTCCAAGTCCAGTAATATCTAAGTACTCCAAACAGGGCCAAGATATTCCAGACCCATCATATGAAAGCATTCGTCTTTGGTCAGCACCACTGAAATGATCCAAAGGACTTTTTCTAGAACGCTGCTACCAGTCACAGATTAAATCATGTCATTATCTCAAATAATGTCGCTATACCAGAAAATGTTGTAGCATGGAGCTGGTTTCATATCCTTATTAGAATTATTTTAATTATCGTGCTTGAAATCTTGTGTCACATTACCATGTCTTGGTATCATCCCCAGTGGGAGCCTGTCAAATTTCATTATATTATGGCGACTCTCATTTGGTGGCTCAAACATATTTGCTGCATGAACCAACCCTTGTGTATTACCCGAGATTAAGTCAAGACCGTGCCTACTATTCTCTGAAATGAACTTGTTGAAAGGAGAGGTTGACCTAATTGGAAAAGCCTCCCAAAGAGCAGCAGAGAATGAAGCTCCTGTGAAACAAAGGACTCTTCCAGTTCTCACTGAGACTTATTTTTTTACCTACGATGCTTGTTCTGTAGTTGTCTGCATCATAAATGGCTTTAGGATAGAAAGCTTAACTGATTAAAATAACTGGAGGAGGTGAACAGTGGCACGTGGTGCAAAGCTGCGTGGGTGGGTGCTGCACAAAAGAGTGAAATGAATAGCAGGGGTGGCAGCTCCCAGCGCCTCCAGCACCGCACGTTTAAATCTCAGCACTGTGACTTAGGGCAGGAGTTCAGATGTGCAGCTTTCAAAGTACAGCAGGAAGACTGGACAGGTAAAGTCTTTTGCTGCGTTGGGTGAGAATTTTCCTTATTTGGGGAGTCTGCCTGAAATAAGGATAAATACTGAATTTTCTTTCCTCCTCACGCAAGAGTTATCTTTCTTTTTACATAGCATACACTTATATGTTATAGAGCACACCTTACCTTTTATGGGTTTTCTTGCTTTACAGGTTACTTTCAGTTGTTTTGTCTGAATTTTTTTGTTTTCATGTGGGAAATCAGTAAAACACTCAGTACTGCAAAAAAGGCAAATGGATCTGTGTGGTTTTACAGAGGTCCTTTTACGGTATCGTAAGACTCTCTTCAAAATTATGAGTTGGATGCTGTTAGAATAGTAAATATGTAGATTCATGAGTAATTTGCAAATGTCCATGAGCCACTGAACCTGTTGCAGTTGTGCAGTGTGTCTCAGTTCGATGGAATTGTTCAAGTTCTTACTCCAGATGACGGAATTTACTTTCATCTTCTTACATTTAAAAGATTTCCCTTTCATATCTCTTTAGATACAGATAATAAACAAGCTTAAAATATTACAGGGGCAGGAGGGGCAGTCAGAGAAGTAAACACTGCTTGCCTCTCCTTTTCAGCTACTTTTGCTTCTGCATTGTCATTACCGTCAGTTTGCCTTTCTGCTTCTTTTGCAAGTCCCTTGGAGTTAAGATGCTGTGCAAAATTAGGCGCCGTGAGAAGAGAAGTGTGCAGTGTGGTAGGTGTGGGATTAAGCACGCTTCTGTCACAGCCTGAACACAGTTTTAAAAGCCACTCAGCTCTCTGAATGTGTATATCCAGTGTCACATCATGGTAGATGTACCAATATTTTAGCTATAATCATACCAACTGTATGTTGAACTTCCATTTTGATACGATATTTTTTAATCTGTCCTTTCAGATCTTTCTCTGGCCCCTGTCCTTATCCAGAGGAGATATATAAAGTTGTTACCTGTCTTTGAGTAATCTTAATTTTTTTTTTATCTGATTACATGGGAAAAAGTATTAACCAGGTTCTTGGAGACCTCTGCTGGTAATATCTTCCTACTAAGTCTCTCAGATTTTCTTATGTCAAAATAGGGCAAACGACCATTAAAAAAATCTGAACTCACTCTCATTTTTAATGGGACTTTCTGAAAAGTATTGTAGGTATATCTAGACAGATGGGGTTTATGAAAGTAACATAAATAAGTCAGAGGTTTTGTATGGTCTCCAAAAACACGTGGCAATTTTAGCAGAATTTGGTTTTCATGTGGAGTCTGGCTAAACTTAAGCTGTATTTTAAAAAAAGCCAACAAACAACAAACTCTGATAAAAATATGTGAAACACAACTAAAAATATAATCTCATAAGTGTCTGAAAACGGCCAGTGCCAGTTTTCACCAAATTCTACCAAAGCATATCTCCAGTATCTGCTTTTGGACTTTCTAGGTTTGTTCAATGTCATTAATATAATTATTGAGTCAAAAGATTTTTCATACACGTGGAAGATCTTTGTGTGGCAGTACTTGTAGATATGGCCCTAATCTAGGAAAAGACTGAGAATTTGGACCTGAAGTAGTGCCTATAACCATGCAGGCCTAAGTTACTGGAATAACCTTAATTTCAATGCAGAGGTAGTTCTAAATTACAAGTTTTGAAGTTGGATGCTAAATTTTAGAGCTTTGAAGCCTAAGTCATATAGATCCTGAAGAAGAAAATGTCTCTATTTGAAGGACCAGGGGTCTAACGGTGCCATTTATTCCACTGGGGCAGCACATGAACTGTTGTTTTGTTTTTGTACAATGATTGGGATTTCTGAAGCTATTCTTTTTTAAGTGTTTTTATTAAAAACAAAATGAAAACAGGTTCTGATCTTGCACGTGCCACCTTCAGAAAGCAGAACTGGACTCAGGGAAAAAAAATAATCTTTAGCAATTATTAAGCATGTTATTAAATCCAACTCTTAAATGTGCTAATAAAGAAAGAAACGGCCATTTGCTTGCACCTAGAGAGCACGTCGTTGGTTACAGACACAAGGCTTTATTCATTACTTCTGCACTGCAGCTCAGCCCAGCTGGATTCAGAAAATCAGCGATGCACACGCAGCCATAGA